TTAGAGCTTGTACCGGCTGGGTGGTGGCCGGCTGTTGGGAGATACCTGGTTGAGGAAAACCCCGCTACTAGCAGACGGTGGTCGGCGCTGGGTCTCGCCATTCAGCGGGGCAAGACCACCGCCACCTCCCGCGATAAAAACGGACTACACTTTTGGGACTAATGGCCTTAGCAGTTGATGGGTCCGGAGTCACTAATCAATCAATCTAAGGAAGTAGAAATCGCTCACAAAACTTGAAGTTGATTTTTTAACTTTAATGAATGTTAATGAAAAACTAGATGTCGCCTATTTTATTGCCTTAAATACCCGTTTCTTTATCCAACAAACTGCTCCGCTGAGGATGACACCATTTTCCTGAAAACAAAAAAATTAAAGAAATGTTACTTGTCTTAGGCGCTGTGTTCATTATCTGCTCATAAATGGAGACCAGAAGTTGGTGTGAAATCATTTCTGAAATTTGGTAACGGTTCGAAGTCGAAAAAGCTGTATTTGCACATAAATTGTTTCACTCCACGTGATCTTCAGAACAATTCCTGCAACGTCATTCTCATGTTCCCCTTATATTTCAGCTGTCACAAATTTCGTTCTTTGGAAGTTTTTATCATTTTCTATATTATAAAGAATATAATATAATGAAATCATATAATATAATGGTATTTTAATGTACACAGTATCCAAAAACTTCTGTATCATGCTACATTATTGTATTTTTTACTAATTAATCTATATTACTCTCAAATAATTACATTTCTTTTCATAAATAGATTTTATTATTACTAAAATCTGGAAAAATTTAAAACATGAAAATGCTCTAATGCCATAAAAATGTTAAGTCAGTATCAACCTTGACCTTCAAAACTGAAATGGTCAAAGTCCTCACTATCTCCCGGTTCTTGTACGATGTCCAAAGTTATAGAAACGGAAGCAATATAGGCATGCACCTTAGCAGTGGAATTACGCCATTTCGCATTTGCGAGAACAGCTATGAAAACGAATCCTTCACTTCGAAACTCTGCGATGTCCTGGGCATATACGTGCTTTTTCAATATTTATCTCAAATTACTTGATATTACAAAAAAGTAAAAAGGACACTTCAAGAATTCTGGCCGGCTGAAAAAGGGACCAAGAGAATTGAAAAAAATGACCTGATATAGAAAACAAAACCGTTGGTTATTTATTCGGTAACGAGGAGGCATACTCATTACCAAAATTATTACTAGGGAGTGGATTTTGACGACCTAAAACATTGCCAAAAAGTATCAATAAAATGCTCTTAAAATATTTTTAAAATGCCCTAAAAACAAAGAAAAATGACTTTAAAAAATTGATTAAAACCACTTCTGATGAACAACTCAAGCTGTTGTAACTGGAGTAATTGAGGCTTCTTTCTTTTGTTCAAGTGAACTCAGCTTGCAAACTTTCGGTTTGGACTGATCTTTCAAGTTTCAGATGTGAAGTGCTTGGGTAGCGGTATGTTGATGTGCGTTGTTTTGCAACATAAGGATGTCTTACGATAATTCATCCCGGTATGTACAAAATCTGATAACCGCGAATACGGTTTGCAACTTCATTAAATAACAGTGAAGGGTTATTCAGAATTTGGAGAAAGACTTATTCGAATTGAAATCAGTAATAGACGAGGCTGGTCATCTTCCTCTTTTTCCCATTTTTCATGCTTGCTTTGACTGTTTTTGAATGGTTCAATCTACTGGTAAATTCACTCCTAGGAAAGACATTGCACCGACTATGTGCTGAAAGTATTCTAATGATTTCAAATTTCGGTACACATTCAGATACCAAGAACCTAATTAGAAAACCCTATTTTTTGTGCGAACGGGGCGTGGTGGAGTCAGTTTTACGACGCAACAACTCAAGCAAACAGGTGATAACGCTTATCATAGGCCAAATGAACGATGTCATCTTAATGCAGGTAAGTGCACAAAGCTATACAGCCAATCTACAGACGATTAGAACGAAAGTGAAGATACGTATTAACTTATCCTTGTATTGAAACGAGAAATTAATTTGGTGCAAAAACATCAGTGGGAACGTGTTAGGGAACACCTCAATCAAAACGATCTGATATATTATATGTTACGAATATCATACGAATTATACTAATTCATAAATGAGCGTCTTGATATCCACATTTTCCAAAATGGGAGGATAGAGTCCGAATTGGAAACAGATTCGAAGTATGCTTAGGACACTATCCGGAGGGAGTGCATATTAAACAAGGTGGGAGTGGAGGAGAAGTACGGAAATGAGTACAAATAGAAAAGTAATAAAGAGGAGTTTGTGTCTAGGAATATAGTATCGAGTTTATTTATTTATTTACGTCAAAACCGTTAAAAACTGTGTGTGACGTGCTATGGGGAGAAGTTAATTTGAGTTTAAGGCCAGAAGCAAAACAAGGGACCATCTCAGCATTTGCTCAAAGATTACGGAATGTGGACGAAAACCTGATGGGGTCATTGACCCAGAAGCTGAAGTACAATACTTGTTACAGATTCTTTACAATTATACAATCCAAATGGTGTAAAATACATTAAATGTCATTGTTAAAATTATTATTACTTTCCTTTGAGATGCTCGGCATAGTATCTAATTGTATAGAAACAGCTGTGCAGCAGAAAAGATTATACTTGTGACTTAAGCTTTTGTATCGAATTTAATCGTTTAATGTCATCTGGCAAGGTGTTGTAAAATAATGTACATGTATTATATGTGAATTTTTGTAGTGAGCTGTTGATACTGTCACCTGATGAATATGATTACTACGTCGAGTGTTGTAGTTATAGACAACGGCGTTTCCTGAAAATATATTCCCGCCCTTAAGTACGTCATTTTTGACAAAAACCACTGATTCGAATATCAAGGGACAAGGTAATGGTAAAATACCTAGATGAATAAAGAGAGGCTTGTAAGAATCACGTGGGTGGGATTTACTTATTATTCGTACAATTCGTTTTTGTAGTCTAAAAGTCTGGGAGCTATAATATGTATTTCCCCAGAATATTATGCCATATCTCAGGCGGGAATGAACGTTAGCGAAATATACACAACGAGCAGTGTGTAAGCTGACTGAATTTGAAAGAATTCTGAAAGCGTATCATAAAGAACTTAATTTAGTGTTCAATTCATTTTAATGGACAAATGGAGTTCCATTGTATCAGTCGTAAACTTATATTTTATTGATAGTATATAATCTAACATCACTTCAATGACATTTCGCTAGGCATTTACGAGTTGGGGAGACGAGGCACTGGCATTCGACCTTCGTAATTTTCCTTCTGGCAACGTTTCAAACGTATTTTATGCCAAAAAGTTCTTCTCTGGAACTCATTCGGACGATCGCCTTAATTTTGCTGGCGCTTGGTGGATAATTCGTGAATTGGCTGGATGATGTCAGGAATGATGTGTTCTTCGTCCGCCTAATGTGCGCAATAGAAGCCAAGCGAATATGACACATTGCGGACTTTAGCCGTCACATGGCTGTGGTAAAATACATAATGATGAATATTCATAATTCTTGTTACTTTGCGTCTGATTATAATTTGTTTCATAATTCAACGAATATACAAGATAAAAAATAAAAACAAATGCGCTTTATTGTCTTAAAAATGTTTATTACACGTCTAAATGTTAAGTATTCGCAAAAATTCGAAGTTAACAATAAATATCCTATATGCGATTACTTCAACGACGTTTGAATCTGTTTTATTGGGGTCATCATCAGATTGTTTGGGGTGAATTCTATCGTCTACCCTCACACACACAATACGTACGGTTGAGACCGGAAATGCTGGGGAAAATAGGCAGATTTTGGTTGAAAATATGTCAGCTTTAATTCTATGTAAAAGAATTTTGATACGCAAATAAAACTAAAAGTCGTAATGCACAATTAAGCTTCCCTATTGACTTTATTTTCAGTTTGAACTTATTCTCTTAAAAGTCTCTTTTAAACATTATATTTATTTATTTATTTATTTATTTATTTATTTATTTATTTATTTATTTATTTATTTATTTATTATTACACATTTTTTTATTTTAGACCAATTTAAAGTCCGCGAAGCAATTCGTACTTTAAACAAGACAGCTTTCGTACTTTCTTGTTTTTCACACCACGACACCGTCCGCAGATTGCGAGCAGAAGACGTAGAGAGAGACAGAGAACAGACAGGGCGAGCCGTTCACCTTTTCGTTGCGGCACCATCTTACAGTTATGACGCTGCTCAGGGCTCTTAAAGTGAGGTGGCTCAGGGCATGAACTAATGTCACTGCAGTACCTCTTTCTGGGAGGTTCGAGGGTTCCACTCCCGACGGTGGTAGGATTTTCGACTTAACGTATAGCTTAGTGGAATTCAGTCGCTATCTGTAGAATTTTTGCGACCGGCTGTTCTGATCAGTAGTTTTTCATGGTTTCTCCCTTCAATACCAGGTGATGCAGGATCAGTACCCCAACAAAATAGGCCGTAGACCATACGTGATCTTTCTTCTTCTTACTAATCCTTTCTTCACCCCATTAACTCAAATGCATTACGCTATCGCACTTAATGCGAAGCCAGTCGGGAGCTTAGAGCCTGTCCCGACTGGGGCGGTGCCATGCAGGTGACGGATTTCTGGTTAAAAAAAACAACAACATAAACTGACGTGTAGGTCTGTACAGGATCTCGCCAACCAGTGGGAGGAAAAAGCACAACAACCTGCTGTAATAACTAGCATGCACTACACTTACGGGACTAACGACCTTAGCTGCGGACGTGCCCGGAATCAACAATCAATGGCTGAAAGCAATCGCAACGACCCGTTGCAGGCGCCGCAAGCCGCCGAGCCGTGGACGGGCATCCGCGACGCCACGCAGGAGGGCAGCCCGTGCGTGCACATCGACCCGCTCACCAAGCAGGTGGTGGGCGCGGAGGACTGCCTCTTCCTCAACGTGTTCACGCGCCGCCTGCCCGCCGGCCCCGCCGGCCCCGCCCTCGCGCCGCGTGCCGTGCTCGTGTGGATCCACGGAGGCGGCTTCACCGAGGGCACCGGCAACGGGTGGGGCCCCGAGCCCTTCATGGAGCACGACGTCGTGCTCGTCACCTTCAACTACCGCCTCGGACCCCTAGGTAATGCCCGTCAACGGCACAGGTGCATGTCTCTGCTGTGCCTCCCACCGGGAGGTCCCACGGTTCTAATCCTTCTCCCGACGGTGGCAGGATTTTCGACACTAGCTACAAAGCTAGCCTACGGGAATTCTGGCGGCCAGCGGCTCTGTTCGGTAGTTTTCCGTGGTTTCTCAGATCAACACTAGGCAAATGACAGAGTAGTACCGAAACAAACGGGCCACGAACCGCGCGTGATTTACATACTCACCTACCTTCATATGCACTGCACTACCACACCTGACGGAAGCATAGAGGTTACCCAGTTGGGGCGGTGCTACGCTAGTAGGAGATAACTGGTTGAGGGAAAAATAGCAAACTACCTTAGCACCTGACATGCCCAAAATCACTATCCAATCAGCCTATCAAAGCCTGTGGTGGCTCGTGGACAAATGTCTGGGATGAGAAACACAGATTCAGAGGAACCTACTAAATGCATGAACTTCTAAAAAATTATGCGGAGAGAGATCAAACTGTATTTGAGCTCCTTAAATATTTACTGGATCAGTCCCAGTTTCAAAATTATTGTTGTGCCTTTTTTATACCTTTCTAGCCAACACAATGTGTAACCGTTCTCATTGTAGAAATAGGTCGAGAATTGTAGACGATTTTAACACTCAGGATTTTAACAATAAACCTTTCTTTCCGCGTTGAAATTTCAAAAAACGCTAAGTTAAAATGTGATAATTATAAAATATTACTGCCGTTTGTTATGTTTGAGTATCATATGAAAAAAGGCAAGTTACTCTTATACATAACAATAAAACGGACAGAATTATACAAAAGATAAAATTCCATAACGTCTATTTTCGATTAAAAACTGTTAAGATAATAATTTTTATTAAATGCCTTGATTCAGTATAAGAACAAGTATTTTCACATGTATTTCGGTTTAGTGAATCGCTTTGACATCTTTTTGACCAAATCAATGATTTGACTTCAATGATTGCAACCACCCGATTTACTCCATCGGTTGTGAGAAAAACTCCCTTCCGCTTCCCCGCCCTCGGACAGCCAACTACCATAGTAATGAATTACATTAGTGCAATGAACGTTTAATAGCGGGAGATTGCAGTCTTTCTATCTCGCTGGATGATGAAATCCAGTGCCGACCCACCGACGGCGATTTTCCCCTCTATATATCTCTCCCCAGCACGGCACCGCCCAAGCAGGGAGTAATGGGAGACGATAGGGCAAGGAGGAGGAAGGAAAGATAGCACCCAGCCCACGACCCGTTTGTTAGGGTACTGTCCCGTCATTCGTCTGGTATTGATAGGAGCAACCATGGAAAAACTACCGATGAGAGCAGCCGGCCGACTAAGTTTCTTCTCCAGATACCGGTTGAACTCAACCTAACTATCTACCAAGAACCGAAAATCCTGCCACCGTTGGGACTTCAACGCTAGGACCTTCAGTGCGGATGACCTAGTCAAGAAGAATGATGAACTATTATAAGAGTTGTATAATCTCATTTATCACACGTAATGTTATTGAATCTGTATTAGACTATTCACTGAAGAGAACGTGCTCTGAAAAAATGTTACAAGATAACCTCAAATCTATCTGAGTAACGGAACGATAAATTTTGTATCAGATATTTAGGATTAGAGAAATAATTCACATTTGTTGATAAAATGTAATTACACCATATTTAATGACAATTAAAATAGAGTTGTGTAACTTCATGGTTAGTAACATATTGATTCCCAAATCTACTGTGGGTTTAACGTTATATAACCCACAAAGGAAGAGGGTAAATATTATTATTTCATTAAAATCAGAGTTATTGGGTAATATTAGTTTCATATTCGATGCAAAAAGGTGAAATACCCCATAAACATTAAAGTTCTCTTATTGAATCCTATTTTGTTACTAACTTTTTTCCTCGTCGAATTTGAAGGTAACTGTGGAGTTAAAATATAAAGATTCAAATCTTCTTATATCATGAAACATTTCTAAATGATATTTCAACATAAAATAACTAAAATGTAACTTACATTTTTATAATAACGCAATTAATCCTCCAATCAAACTCTCAAGAGGTTTTCTTTACGAAAAGCATAGCGTGTAGAAGAATGACAGTATAGCCTTTTATCACATCTTTAGTTCACTTTTTCAACTGACAGGAAATAAAAACATATTCTTTGTCACTAAATAAATCAAATGATAGAATTTATAAGTATAACATTTTATTAATAATCCGAGAACTACAATAACTAACTTTGTTCGACCCCCTCCTTATTTACGATAACAAAGTGGTTCCTGACGCATAAACTGCTTAGGTTTCCTGAGCCTGGGGACCAAGGAAGTACCCGGCAACGCTGGAATGAAAGATCAGACGATG